GCTTCCAGACTCAAGCCATCCTGCTGGGTCTGCTCCAAGTGCAGAAAGGAGGGTAAGTGTGTGGCCATGGGCAGGCAAGGGTGATGGTGCCACTGTTCTGTTTTCTCTTTGGGTTTTTTTTTCATGGCTTGGAATTGAACATAAGATCCTAAAATTTTTGAGCAAGTTCTCTACCATTCAACTACATCCCAGAGCTTCACTGACTCTACTTCTGCCTCCCATGGATCTCACCCAAGAAAGGTGGCTCTGTCTATCAGGCACGTAGCTGCAATGGTCCCCTCACACAGGGTTTCATTCTTGAAGTGGTCATCAGGCTTCTCTTTATCATGATCACACATGTAGATAGCTAAACCACCAACTACAAACTATTAGGATTTTTAACGCATTTAACAAAAGTGCAGTATACAAGATTCATATGTAAAAATTCAGCTAAGGTACTATATGACTACAATGACATATTTTTATAAAAATATAATTTTTAAAAAAGAAACATATTTGCATTCGCCAAAGGCCATATGAGATACTGGAATGAATCTAGCAGAAGATGTGTAACATTAGCAAACAACATTCACATGAGTCTACAGTAATTGCATAGAAAATGGAAAGATATTGCCAGTTCTTCTCCATGGAGTGATCCTTAAAACCAGTGCATTCCTAATGAGATTCCCAAAAGGAAGTTTCTTGAATGAAAAGCTAACAGATGCTACAAGGACCTGAGGTCCACAGCGCAGCCAGCACAAGGCTACCCTGATGTCACAGTTCTGTGTGAGGGGACAATGAGAATGGCCTGAGTCTGTGTAGGGCTAGGATGGGGGACCTGTGGGACAGCAGTGGGTTCAGAAAGATGTGGCCCAGACCCACATGGTTTGCTACATATGGCTTCAAATACAATCCCAAACATGGAAAGCTGATTATCCATAAGGAAAACTGTCAGCTCAGCATGGAGCTCTATCTGTCCTCAGACATGAAATTCAGTACACTAAGGTCCACACAGGAGAAGCAAGGCTGCAAAAAAATAAAGACTAGGACTTTAAGGCACCAAACAATATCCATGTAACTTATAAAAAAATCACAGTGCCATCAATAAGACTGATAAACACCATTACTTTGGAATGACACGTCCATTGGTAGACATACAAACTTGAAATCTTAAGCCAAGAAATGGGAGAATCTATTTATGTTACCTATGACACACAAGGCCTGCGTTCAGAACACGGCAAAGATGTCTGCACATCAATAAGTAAAAGCATTGCAGGGCTGGGGCTGGGGCGCAGAGGTACAGTGCTTTTCCAGCATGGGTAGGGCCCTACATTCCTCATCCAGAACAGCTGCCTACTAGTGGATTTCTGCTCACTTAGGGGTAAGATCAAAACAGTGGTATTTCTTAAGCTTCAGCCTACTTTTGTTTGTTTGTTTGTTATTTTATTTTCTGAGACAGGGTCTTGCTGTTCAGTTCATTCTGGTCCTGAACCTTCTATGTAGCCTAGCTGGCCCTGAACTCTCCATGATCCTCTTGCCTCAGCCTCTCCAGTTCTGTGGTAATAGATGTGTCTCACCACACCCTGTAGCATAGCAGCTTTCCTTGATTTGGGAATATTCTAGGTGCCGCTTGCTATTACAAGGTTCCTTGTTTTTCCACAGAGAGCAAGAAAACAAGGGGAGATGGGTTTGTGAACAACAATATAGGAAGCCAAGCAGCCAAATTGATAAATTTGGGATTTAATTCACTGAGCTCAGAACCACTTGTATACAGAGCCCCTACCCCTGGTTCTGGACCCAAACAAGTGGCCCCAAACTGGAAAGAAACAGAGTTTTTAAAAGGGAGAACCACAAAATACATCCTGTTGGAAACTATTTGGCTCGAATCTTTCATTAATGTACAGTTGACACCTGTATCCTGCTTCTTTTGTTGAGCAGGTTAATTTTTCTCCTGTAGCTACAGTGCATTCTGCTTTCTCATGGGACTTATACCCTGAGTCATTTTCTATGTTTGTGAGTCAAGTACAGGCACTAGTTAAATGCATCAGTTAAGCCAAGCCACAACAAAGGGAGGGTGCATTTCATACGTTGTTGGTAAGCGAGAGTGTAGGAAACACACATCTTCTCTCTCAGTGGGCAACCATCATGGATTAAGGCTGTAGACCCTGTCTCTTATCTCCATCAGGGACCCTGTCTGCTTCATTAAGAGAACACATAGGTGGAGGGGTGGAATAAATACACGTTATACTTTCACAGAGTGACAGGTAAAGGACCTAGTGTTCCTCCATGCTCTGTCTCTTGTTGGGACATTTTTCGTTGTTTATTTAGTTGATTATTGAAGAGACAGAAATGAAGGCATGATGATTTAATAATGCTCTTGGGTTTTTAGGTCCATAAACTTGGGTGGGAAAATGACCATCAGGGAAGACCTCATAGCACACTCTGCTGGGAAACTGGCCCTGAGCTAAGGCTCCAGAGCAGGCACCTGCCCTTTGTTCCTTTGTCCCTGATCACCTGAGCACCCCTCAGGGTGATGGACTAAGACAAGCAGAACACACAGCATGCTCTAGCCGCTCTGAGCCACAGGTAAGGGCAGGGCCACCACGGAGCACTGGGAGATCAACCATTGACAGCGTGTGGCTAAGATGTGGAGAACGGGTACTTAGGGCACAGCAAAAACTGCCTTAGTTTCAAAGCTGTGCCCCCACCAATGCCAGGGATGGGGAGCACTTTTTCTTTGACAGTTTCTGAACTGATTTATCAGGAAACAGAAGAACCTATAGTGATGCTTTTATGTGAAGAGAAGAGCCTCACTGCAGGTCTTGAAAACATTTTTGGTGCTGAGGACCAAACCCCAATGTCTCATGCCAGGTAAGTGCTCTACCACTGAGGTAAATCCCCAAACTCCAAAGGTTTTTTCTTTATTTGGTTGGGGATTTTGGTTTTGTTTTGGTGTTTTATTGTTGCTGATGTTTTGATTTCTTCTTTGGTGTCGTGTGGCTTTAGAAGTGCATCTTTCTAGGTATTTCAGTGATCTTGAACTCACTGTGTAGCCCAGACTTGCATGGAACACTTAGCAAACCTCCTTCTGCAGTCTCAATCCCGGACCCCAGCCTGGATGCTGCCTCTGACACCAAGACCCCTGACACCAAGACCTCAGCCCCCAGGACCCCGAGACCGGGCCCCACGGCCCACTGCCCCCACTCTCTGGACTTCTAGCCTCCCTGGCACCCAGGTCCCCTGTCGCCCAAACCCTGCTTGCCTAGTCATGCACACAGGCCCAAAATTGGGCTCCCTGGATCAAGGAACCCAGCCCTGCGAACCTGGCACCTGCCCGGATTTTGCCTCCCCCACACCTCCTGGCCCCTTGCACCAGGACCCTCGTACCCAACCCCTGAAACCCCCCACCCACGGTGCACCAGGCTCTGATTTCTGGCCCCAGAAACCTGGTCCTGGGCTCCTCACATCGCACCCTCCTGTGCCCCTCCCCCTCCCCTTGAATCCTCATCCCCTGAACCATTCCTGGCCCAAGGCCCGCAAACCCCTAGCCTACTGACACTGACTCTGTGCCCCAACCCTGGGACTCAGTGCCCTGGGGCCCCAGGCTCAGCCTTAGCGCCTCACTTCTGGCTCTGGCACCCTGCTACAAGGGCTTCCTGGCGCCCCAGTACACCACAACAGTGCCCTGGAGCACACATGGCAGGGCCCTGGCCCATGGGACCTTGGCTTTCTACCACCCTGGCCCTGGCCTCACTCCCTGGGGCCCCAGCTCCTGAATCGGCCCCCTGGCCTCCAACAGCTACACCCTGGCCCTGGCCCCACCACCGTGTCCCCCATCCCCTGGCCTCCAACACCTACACCCATACCCTGGTCCCCAAGTCCCCAACTCTGACCCCAGCTCCTAGGACCCCCATATCCTGGCCTGTGGGCCCCTGAACCAGGCCGGGGCTCTGATCCAATCCCCCAAACTCCCTGGTCCCAGTACTCCCAGACCCCAGCCCCCAGCCCCAGTACTCCCAGAGTCCCAGACCCAATCCCCCAAACTCCCTCGTCCCAGTACTCCCAGACCCCAGCCCCAGTCCCTGGGCTCTCAGTGCCCCAAACCCCGGATCCAGAAGCCCCAGGTTTATGGCCATGGGACCTGGTACCTCCCCAAATCTGGCCCCAAGCCCTGACCCTGCGCCCCAGCCTCAGGCACCTGGGTCCTCTAGGCCCCAAACCCAGGTGCCAGTCTCCCACAGCAGCCCCAGGACCACCACCACTCCCCCAACATCCTCCACACTCCCAACACCCTCCCCACCACCCAGCTTCCAGGACCCTGTCCTGGAACCAAGGCCCTCTCCCTGGACCAACAGAAACTGCCTGGCCCTGACATTGGCCCCCTGGCTCTGAACTCAGTCACAGCACAGGCCCAAGCCTCTGTTCTCCCCACACCCGCCCACACCCAACACCCCTGGTCCAACAGTCCAGGGCCGTGGCCTCCACCCCTAGTCTCCCTGGACCCCAGTTCTGGCTCTGGCCCTGCACCACAGATCACCTGGCCACCTAGCTCCTATTACATGTCCCCAGACCCCTGGGCGCAAGCTCTCAGGCTTCAGCACCGCAACATAGGCAATGGGACTCAGAAGCTGGACCCTAGGCCCGACCAGGATCCCAGTCCCCCCACCCCAGGCCATCCTCTTCCCTAGCCTTGGCCCTGGCCACCCCACCACCTAGTCCCACAACTCTGGCCCTGGGTACTGACCCCTGGTCTTGGCAACCTGGCCCTGAGACTCCAGTCCAGGCCTTCGGGACCCCGCACCCAGGACCCCTGGCCTCCTCCTCCCTCTCTCTCTCTACTCCCTTCCCTTACTTTCCTGCTGCAACACTGAACACTGGTCCCCTTCTCCCCACCTACCCACCGAGGTGTCAGGGCAGCCTCCCAGACAGGCTAGGGCAGGAAGCAGAGCCCTGTGATGTAGCTCAAGGCGGGCCTAGGGCGGGGATAGGGGCGGGGATAAGGGCGGAACTAGGTATTAAAAAGGACTGTAGTGCTGTCCCAGACCGACTTGGCATACTCTCTTCACCAAGCACGGGTCCAGTCCCACAGCTGTGGTCCACTGCACGGCGAGGACATGCACCCAGCATCTACGGTAGGACCTTCCGCTGAGCAGCGCCCGGTTCCGATGGGCTGGACCTTCCTCCCCGCTTTGTGCCTGTTTGTCCTGTTGGAGCAGGTACTCATGGTGAGCACGGCAGGGGTTCCGGTGGGGAACCAGGCAGGAGCCTCCGAGAGGGAAAAGGCAGCGACTGGGCCGAGCGCTCCGCGCCTCCCAGACCGGGTTTCCATCCGCGATCCGGGTCACAGCGGACGCCCGGGGCTCCCTCCCCGCAGCCGGCAGTCCCCCCCCCCCCAGCCCACCCCGGAGCGCGCGGAGGAGGAGCTGTGGCCGGAGCCCACTCTGCTGTGCAGGGTCCCTTGAACAACCGCGACAGCGCCCGGGCCTCTGGGGATGGCTTGCACGGGGCGCCCAACTGTAAGCCTCGGTGGGACGGAACCGGCGGACACTTCCCGCGGCCGGGTCGGGACCACATGGGAATTCCCCGGGAACGAATGGGGAGCGGGGCGAGAGGGCGCTGGCCTGTTTAGTTTTCAGTCCTGCTTTTCATGAGCAAATGCTTGAACAGGAATCGCCAAAAAAAAAAAAAAAAAAAAAAAAAGTGACAAAATGTATTTGAAAACGTGAAGGGGGAAGTAAGGAATCGGACTCAGCACCCGAAACCGGCGCCGAATAAACGTGAATCACATTAACAGCGAACACCCGATGGAGCGCCTGCTGTCCTGTAGACAGAAAAGCCAGCTCTCTGGGTGTCCTGTCTATTTCTACGACGCCTCCCGAGAACTCGGAGAACTTTTACCTACGCGGTCCTGAGACTTATTTGGCGCGTGTCCTGATATCCTGGAATGAACAAGCCCGGCTTACTCCCCAGCCAGCTGTGCCAGGCACTGCGCCACCTTCCCCTGTCAAGGCATGCCCTTAGCTAGCAGGAGCCTGGTTTAGGGGAGAGAACACCCCAGTCCGCTAAGGCATCCGAGGGCTCAGGCGTATGACCCAGGCTCGGATGGGCGAGGCCAGCCAGAAGAGGGGCGGAGTGAACTGTGCACTACGTGGGCTGACAGGGCGGGGCAAGGGGCTGATGAACCCTGGCTAGGGCTGGCCAAGGAAGCTGCAGAGGGATGATTGACTGGATTTAGGCCTATGTATTCTTCTAGATGACTTACAGTTTATGCCTTTATTTTCTAGGATACTCTATTTTTCACATTTATTTTCTATAAGGAAAATTTCTAACTGACTTCAGTTAGTATATTCTAACAGCTCTTTTGTGTATTCTACAGCTCTTTTCTCTGACATTTAACAAATTGCGCTAACAACCTAATATTACGATAGTTTCATTGTAATTTGTGCCAACTTTACATCAGTAGTGTATGAAAATTCTGCTCCCATACAGTTGCATCTCCACCTTTTTCTTAATGATGTCAAAAAATTGTCCTTATTCAATGCGTACCTCTAATCTTAGCCCAATTATTATTCTCAGGTATTTGCCTTTGAAGTCACAGAAAACTAAAACTGGGAATATGATCACACAGCAAAACATACTAACTCTTCGAGGCCCATGTATTCACTTCTCCAGATGCCCATTACTGCTTCAGGGGATTCCACTTCTCCTTTCCTGTCCGCTTCACCTGAAACACTCAGATGGCAAGGTCTTGCCATCCAGTGCTGATGGCTTCCTCATCCTGTCTTGCGCTGTGACGCCTCCCTTTCTTCCTCCTTTTGGGCGGATGTGGAATTCCTGGCTGCCTTGTTTTCCTTTCAGCATCTTGGACACCCTGACCCACCGCCTTCTGGCCTCCGAGGCTGCTGATGAGAAAGCTGCTGAGATGTTACTGGGGAGCCCTGGGATGTGACAGGCACTCCTTTCTGGCTGATTGCAGTATTCCCTGCTTCTCTTCTCCTTTGAAGAGACTGAACACTGAGCCAGCCTGTCAGGTTCTTTGAGCTCAGTTTTTCTGGAGGCGCTTAAACTTCTTGGATATCTGCATCACATCTTGCCTCAACTTCAGGATATTTTTTCCCATCACAGCAAACGATTACTGTGCCTGTTTTTATGTTTGCTGTCCTGAGAATCTCAGAGTGTGCACTGATTTCATGGAAGCATCCTGCAGGTCTCTTAGGCTCGGTGCCCTTTTTCTCTTTAGTCATGTTTCTCTGTACTCCACAGACTTGTTGCTTGTATATTCCTATTTTCAAGCTCGATTGGTTTTTATTCTGTCCTCTGAAACCTGCCTAGTAAATTGCTCATTTCACATATTGTACTGTTGATCTCCAGGGTGTCTCTTTCTCTTTCTTTTCATATTTCTTCTTGGGGTTGCTATTTTCATTTTGTTCATACATCATGTCCCCGCAGACTTTATATGTCTCACTTTCGATTTCTCATCTGCCTGTGACCTGCTGTCTTTTTTCTTGAATGAGTTGTATCTTCCTGTTCCTTTCTATGCCTGTGATGTTGTTGTTACTCTTGTTGTTCTTGGTGTTGTTTAAACTGGACATCTGAATCTTGTACTACTGGAATTAGAGTCATTGCTTCATTCCTTCGGTTTTTGTTTTGTTTATATTTTTGTTTTTGTCTTTTGGTCAGGTGTTTTTGTTTCAGGGATGAGCCTGCAAAATCAATTTATTTGCTTCTTAGATGGCTTCTGGGCCAAAACTACCCCTGAGCATGCATGATAATTTCTAGTATCTTCCAATTATGCACGTGCATTTCAAGGTTATAACCCTGGATACCTGGCTTCCAGATGGAGAAAGAGGAAAAATGACAGGGAACAGAGCACAGGCCTGGATTCTTGATAACCCTCAGAAACAGCTGCAACTGGGGATAGCTGTCACAGCCACTCCCGTGCTCTGTTTTTGCTCCTCCATGGTGAGAGGCAGCAATTGCTGATCAGAAAATAGACCCATTAAATCGAGATGATAAAGTATGAAACTTTAGGGGGGCTGAGGATTTAGTTCAGCAGCATAAGCATCTGTCTTGCAAGCAGGCAGTCGTGAGTTCGATCCCCTGTACCGATTTTAAAAAAAAGTATGAAACTTTAATAAATCGACCACCTCAACTCTCACCTTTTCCTAGAGAACACATGTATGGCTGCCAGGAAGGAACCTAGGTAGCTGTTAAAGTGTAAAGAGCCAACCTTGACTGGAACTCACTGGGATTTATTAACTCAGCCTTCTTGGGAAGCTACAAGCTGTAGAGCTCCTCACTTGTGTAGCTCAGAGGGCTCCTGCTCATAATGATTAGTGTTAGGAGAGTAGAGGAGAGCACTGCCTGCTGCTTCCTTGTTCACCACCGCTTCATAACATTGCTTCTAGACAAATCATTACCAGTAAGGGTGGGCTGCTAGTTAGACATTTCTTGTGCTTTTCAACGGGAAGATAATCACCATAACTGAGCTTATTTACAAACAGACCCTACAGTATTCTGGCTTGAGTCCTGTAACAATGATGAATACATGAATGCTGGCCACTACTGTTGCAAGATGTGCCCTGCAGGTGAGTCCTGGGATGTAGGATTTAGGTGGCCATTGGAGCAGAGCAGAGGCTGCACTAGATAGGCTGTGTGAGGAGCAGGGACTGCCTTCACCTGCTGCTTACTCTTTAGAACCCAGATAGGTGTCTCTTGTCCCATATGAGGTGGACCCCTAGTGTGTACATCAGACTGTGTATCTGTAGGTACTGAGAGGGCAGGGTGTGTTTAGCAATTCCAGCTGGGTTGAGGTCACCCCCCATGGTGAGCACTGAACCCTAAAGAGGGTACAGTGTAGGTTCACAGAGGAGAACTGGAGGGACAGCTTCACAGGGACGCCCCCAGAGGAGCTGGCCACTTAATCATGTCTAGGTACCTATTACTTCCATATCGGTTTGAACTTACACTCCAAGGCATCAGCATTGCTGTTGACTCATTAGAGGACTGAGCCTCCAGGACCTAGGTGGGCCCCTGTGAGGACTCACCTCTGCCCAACCGCTTCCACAGTTCAGTATGTGGAGAAGCACTGCATGAGACCCCACACCCAGGGAGTGTGTGTCAGGTGTGAGCCGAGGACATACACAGCATATGCCAATGGTCTGGAGTCTTGCTGCCCTTCTCCACCTGCCGGGCTGGTGAGTTCCAGGGATTTGGCATGACACCTGCACCCCGAGATCCAGCAGTGTTCTTGCTGACAATGGGCTCTAAAGAAGGACATGAAGCTGAGCTTCCGATATTTAGGTGTTCTGGGTTTACCTTTGAAAACATAGAGAAAATAGAGAATACCCGTTCATCCAGCATTCGGAGGAAGTAGTTGCAAACCGATGCTGTAGCAGAGCAGTGGGAAACTTTTTATTGGCATGAAAACTGATCCTTAATGTATTGTCAGAGTAAGAACAATGTGAATACAGCGTTAATCATGCTTCAGCCGAAAAGAAAGCATTTCCTTGAGATTTTTGTCATTTTTTCTCACCGCAAATAGCCAATTCGATCTAGAAGCTCAAAATACATGATGAAACACGCACAAGCTCAATTTCTAGAGAATGATCAATTCTGTATTATGAAAGTTGTCACACATGTAGAATAGCTGGAAAAATAGAATCCAGTGGCTACCACAGAATTTTTTTTTTAACTAGGGGTTCACTGTGAAGTTGAGAATAGTTTTAAACTCACTTTGTAGCCTAAGCTGGCCTTGAACTCCCTGCAGTCCTCCTGCCTCAGCCTCCCAAGTGCTAGGAATCCAGGTGTGCCCCACCACGCTTCACTTCCATAGATCTGCTTGAGATTAAACAAGACCTTAGTGCACCTGCTTTGGTGGATTAAGCTGTGTACAGGGGACACCTGGTATTCCCGTTTGTAATAACTACACAGTCATGGGCCTGGGTGAGGTCAGGAGCTCCACTGTGAGCTGACCCCAGTGTTCCTTCGACTTCAGACCAAGAAATGGTACGAGAGTGCTCCCCAACCAATGACTGGAAATGTGAGTGCAAACAAGGCTACTTCTCTGAGGACATTGGGTGTTTGGAATGCTGCACGCCATGTGATAAGTATGTGGACATGGGTTGGAGGTGGCATGACAGGGTGTTATATTTTACCAGCTGAGAATCAGCAGGTCTGTGGGGACCTCCAGCAGTCAGTTCAGTCTGCAGTAGCCCAGAGAGATGGCTCCCACGCGGCCAGAAGCTTCTCTGATCTTTTCTCCCCAGAAGGCAGCCAAACGAATCACAGCCCAGGCAATTGCTATTTGCACACCTTCTTTTTACCTGAGTTCTTTATGCTGTGATTTTCTGATTGGCCTTTGGCTCTCTGATGTGTTCCTTGGCCCTTTCATGCCTCCACTTTCTCCACATCTCCATGACTCTCCTGCTCTCTGTCATGGCCACTCATTCCTCACGGTCCCTTCGGGTTTCCTTTATACTAATCAGCTTCCAGCTGTCAGGTGCAGACTTGCTGTCCTCTCCTAGCTCATCATCTTCTTGGTTTTCTTCCTCTTCTGCACATAACGCCCTGTGAAAGGATGCTGGACTTGGCTTTGCAGCACTGTCTAATGGAAGGCCTCATTCTCCACTCACCATTCTCTGATGGGCTGCAGTGTGGCCCCCGTAGCAATGGAGTCTTCACATCAGGGTCTTCTGAACACCAAGGTACTGAGGAGCTGCCTGATGCCTCTCTCTGCCCATGGAATGCTGTTCTGTATCCCCTGTAGTGGCACAGGGGACCAGGACTCACCTGGCCACATCTCCAAGGCTGGTTTCTGTCAAAAGGAAGCAAAGCAACAGCCTGAGCAAGGACTTAGGGTCCCTAAGGGGTGTTTGTCTTAGCGATTTCTGCAGTGTATCCTAAGGGAGTCTGGAGTTCATGGTGTAAGAAGAAGCCTCATTCATTTATAGGAGAGTTGGCACACCAAAGGATGAGCAAGGCATAGCAAAGGAAAGAAGAGCCAAAGAGGAAGGTCAGGCATGATTTGTAGAGAAATGGAAGACATTCACTGTACTGTGAAGTGCAGTTTAAAGCTATGAAGGAAGTCAGCAAGTAACAGAGTCCCCTTCATGCAGGCCGAGCTAGTACTAATGTTATCAGCATGAGCAACAGGCCTGTAGGGTGCAGTGACTAGGAAGGAACCCTGAGACCCTGAGGCTCTGATAAAAAGAAAAGGCAAGTCCAGTTTTGCTTCTGTGCATGGGCCACCAGTGAGGCAGCCATATTCATAGAAGAGGAAAGTTGGTCAGCTTTAGGGCATTAGCGCTCAAATGCCTTGTAAAGATTGTGATCATGCTGGGAACAGTAGGGATGAAAGGGAGGGTTACCTGTCTCTTACTAAGTTGGGCAGGCACCAAGAGAGGCAGAGCCTCCTTCTGCTGGTTATGAAAGGGACAAGCTCCAGGTGGACAGAACTGACTGAGGGAGTCTCTCTTCAGGTGTCCTGATGGGACCGGCAGTCCTGCAGGAATGCAATGCCTTATCAAACACAGTCTGCGGAGTGGCTCATTCAGGTAAGAGGGTTACTATATTATTTTTAACCTGGCTGTTTTATACTGAGGTAAAGTTTACTGAGATGAAATTAAACGTATTGTTTCTCTGCTCTTTCTGTTAGTTCACACTGGTAACACGGATTATTAGGTTTCATATTTATAGATTTGTATATATGGTTAACATGATGTGATAATTTCCCCCCTTATCCCACCCTCCTAAAATCAAACCTTTAAAAGTTAATGTGTTAAGCTCAGTTGACATCGCCTTCCTCTTCTAATTCCAAAACATGCCCATCTCCCCAAAATGGAGTCCCCACCCCTCCTCAGCTGTGACGCCACAGCCCATGAGCCTCTGCTAAGTACTCCTCAGCTTTCTATCTCAGTGGGTCGGGCTGTGCCAGGTCTTGTGTGTCAGTGGCCTCAGAACCTTTGTGACCCTTTTGGGTTGGCTGCATTCACTGAATATCACAGTTTTGAGGTTTACCCAGGTTACAGAGTGAGTTACTGCTTCATTCCTTATGGCTCCGTAAGCAATCACACTGCATTTATGTTTTTACATTTGTTACCTGTGTTTTAAACTGTTCTCCACGGGACATAGACCTTTGAGCTCAGGTCATTTAATGGGTTCAGGACTGTCTTTTCAACAAATGATTCTGGAAAACCAGACACTCACATGAATCCTCATTACATACCATGAACAAAAGTTCTTTCGAGATAAACTAAAAGTCTAAGACCTAAAAGCATATCCTAATCTTGTAAATTCTTAGAACTAGGGGACACTTTCATGCCATTGGACTTGGCACTGATTTATGATACTACAACAAAAGTGTTGACCAAGAAGGAAAAATAGACAAAGAAGTCTGGAAATGTTTTAAAAGCTTCTAAGTGCAGAGGTCACAGGCCTAGCATGGGACTGCTGACAAACCATTTCATCCAATAGTCAGGCCTGGATGCTGTGTGAAGCTGTTACCTGCCCTCACTGGTGGGAGCCAGGCAGCCTCCCCACATCCCCACCTGTGCTCAGCTTGCTCTCTGCGCCTCTCTTGAGGCTGCCTTCTGGTTTGCTCTATATAGTGGGACTAGGAGAGAAATTGGATTTCCTGCTCTTACGAAGGCATTTTCTGTTTCTCAGTTTTAGAAAGGAGAAACTGGTTGTATACATGCCTATGCATCATACTTCTCCTGGGAGGTATAGCCTTCTTCTGTTTTTTTATGAAACACAGACCCTGGGTGCATACTAGTCTGTCTAACAGCAAAACTAATAGTAACAGTTCCTTGAGAAGAACAGAAGGCGTCCTGGTTGAAGGTAGGTTGTGTGGGGTGAGATTCAAAGTGGAGTTGTCCTCTTCCTCCTTATTACACTGTGGTCACAGGAGAGAGTTCTCCTCCCTTAGGACAATGTCTGAAGGAAACTGAGGCCACCAGAGACCACAGCTCTATAGCACCTAAGGTTTGCTTGATGGCAGACAGGTCTCTGACATCTGCATGAAGGAGTTTCCTCTCCACCAGGTCCAGTCTCAGACAGACTGGCCTCTCTGGGCAGCACTTGTTCAGCCAGATTCAGTGGGGATGTTAAATGGGTTCAGGCCACAGATGGCCACTGGAAGCTGTTATTACAAAGGGCCACAGGCCACTTAGAAGCTTCCAGAATCTGTGTGGAAGCAGATGACTAGGAAAAGAGGCATGGTCAGGCTCTCCCCTCAGCTTCCTGGAGGCTCGATATGACGTGATTGCCAACCTGGGATGATATGGGTTGTCCTGAGTCCTAAGATCTCAGGGTGGAATGTGTAGTGGACACTAATTACGAGCTTTTTGTCTGATTTTTCAGATAACAGCAGTGATTTGCAGGACACATTGAGTGCAGATCTGGCATGAGGATGGCTCATTCAAGTGTAACACAGATGGAGATGACACTCCTGACCAGGGTCAGCTCTTAGATCACCTATGTGGGAGGTAAGGGAGCAGCTGCTCAAGGAGCTGCCTGTGTTGTCAGTACCTGAGAATTAGGTAGCTATTCTAATGCCCAGATGGGAACCAAAGCCCTTATAGACAGGTAGGATCTTCTTATTTTCAAAAATCGATTTATGATGGGGAAACTGAGACATAGACATGAGAAAGCCAAAAATATGCAAGGGATACTTTGGTATTTGTTATGCTTGTATCTAGATGAACCTCACCCTTTGCAACCTCAAAATTGCAAAAGGCTTTTGCTTTGAGAAAAGAGCCCCAGAGCTCCCTGCTGCAGAATGGTGTCAGTCTAAGGACATTATCCTCAGGATGGGTTTTGTAGTGCTCAGCGGTCCAGAAAACAGAGAAGGAAAGCTGGCTACTGCTCCAGCTGGTAGCAGACCTTGCAGGCGTCGCTGATTTTAGGTGCATTCAAAATGCAAGAGTTGTGTGATCAGGATGGCCTGCCCAGATTTCAGAACGTCTGGGAGGCCAGGCAGTGTGCCCCTGAGACAGCAGTGTGCGAAACTGTGAATGTGAAGCATAAAATGCGCTGGACACCCCAGAAGACTGCAGAGGCCAGGAATTTGGATCACCTGAGTGGGGAAAACTGCCAGGAGTGAGCCAAGCTTGCCCATGCTGGAAGCCAGGAGAACTGCAACCACCCACAGTGCCATATGGTAGAGCCACTCAAGCCCTTGGGAGTTGACATCTCTTCTCACGGATTACACAGGATGCTGGACTGGGTACTATGGAATTTAATGTGTGCCATGCTGGGTTTAGTTCTTGCTTTCCCATTTCTTTCTATTCCCCTATTTTTACCTTCTGGATTAACAGTGTTTATCTTGTGCCATTGTATGTTGGAAGTGTGTGGCCCACTGGGCATCATGCCTACTTTGCCATAAAGGTACATTACTGTGTGTATATAATACCTACATTTATTCTTTAGAGTATTTCTACTGAACAATTATTAACTTTAATTTTATGAGTTTTAATATATTAAACAATATATGGAACAGAAAACAATAACAAAATGTAAAGGTTTGCTTTTTAAATATTTATTGAATGTTTATAAAAAGGCATTAAAATTTTGAATATCACATTTTTGGTGTCCAAAGTCTAAAAAATACCAATAGTAATATATTCCTGTTTGAACTACAAAGCAAATACCCACAGAGCACTATAGCAAGACTGATCTTTACTGCCGTTCTTACACCTGAGGCCGTCTTCACACATCACAACAGAGTGTTCCAGATACACGCGAGGCTTACACTGACAGCACATGTGTTTTGCTTTCCTGGCCTTTTTGTAGAGCATACTGACTTCTTGCAGGTCTAGATGTTTTGTCAGGAGGTTCTTACTATATTATACAATGTGCAGTGAACAGAAACATAAAATAGGAAGAATATAAAATATTAATTCTTAATACATATTGCCTGTTTAGAATAAACATCAACATTTACACCAGCTGTGTAGTTGCTTGCGAAACATAACATCAGAAATAAATTCCTGTATGAACCACCATGAGAATACCAATACAACTCTACCACACAAATACTCTTTGCTTCAGTTGTCACGCCTAAGGCCGTCTTCACTTGTGACAACTGCATGTTCCACGCACACATCTCACTCACACTGAGAGCACAGATGCTTAGCTGTCCTTTCCTATTTGGCAGCCATTCTTGTCACCTCTCATCGTCCTGTTTTTTCAGGAGGTTCCTACTAAACATAAAGTGTGTACTCAGCAGAAAATAAGATATTAATAAAATATCAATTGTGTAAGCATGCTTAGAATACACATCCCCATTTTCACATCAGCAGTTCACCTGCTTAGAAATCCTAAAAAATAATGACAGAAACAAAGACCTATGTGAACTACAATGTAAATACTAACAAAAGCCTGCCACACAAATAATCTCTGCCTCAACTGTCACACCCTGAACAGTCTGCACACATGAAAACCGCACATCCCATACACAAGTGTGGCTTACACTGATAGCACATGTGTTTTGTCTTCTTGTCCTTTTCAGTAGGGCACAGTGGAAATCCTTTTGCTTTTCTTGCTATCATGGGAGGGCTTTGTGATGCTGCTCATGGTTGTCAGCTCACCACTGTGCTCCACAATTTCCTTTGCACAGTTCCCTGGGCAGAAACGTTTTGTTTTTCCTCTGCTGTAAAGGAGCTCTGAAGAATTCCAATCCTAATCTTCTAAGAAACCTTCACCATCATATTGCGCACTTAGTTTCTCAGAAAACTGTCACACATGTTTAGGATGGAGTAAAACGCAACACGGGCCAATGCTTTGTGTTTCAAGTGACATCAAGTTGCTGCGTAAGTCGTCAAAAACATCTACCCTGCCTTTGGCTTTGATGTAGAAAGCTACCATATCAAACTTCTGTTTCCTAGAGTTTGCCCATCAAAATTTCCATTATGGTACCATGTTGACACCTGCAGTACTAGTTTGTTTTCCTTTGCCATATGTGAGGCCAGGGATACTTCTTTCTAAAATCCAAATACTATACTATTCAATTCTCTGTTTTATAATTGCAATATTTCGTTTACTTTGTTTGCTTTTTCCTACATCCTGTTCCTACACTGATCAACTTGTGCTTTGTTAGCAAAGGTGACATCAGCTGGAAACTGAGAAACCAATTATCAAAAGTCTCATCCCCATCAGTTGGGAGATGGGAGCAACAAGTCTGTTCACAGCATCATTTGGTTTATGATGACACGAATAAGGATCTGGTGGCTGTGTTCCTGCACAAATTCTTAAATTGAAAGCATAATGTGTCTTTGTACCTACAAGGGTATAAATTTTATTCCATATTGTAAAGGCTTTAGGAGAATATACAAGTAAAGCTAGAACACCCATGAAATGCTAGGAGATGTTCATCAGTGTTCACGTGTTTAGATGGTGTGCGAATTGCTTGGCAATTACTTACAAAGCTCTCCAACAATGAGTGGTTAGCAGCCAGATTATCACTGCTTTTTACCTCTTCGCAGGTGATTTTGTCATGAAACCTCAGGCAAATTTGAAGGAAACAAATATCCTCATGTCATTATTATGATGCTGCACACCTAAAACTCACACCCATCACTTTTCCGTAAGTCTTTTCTATTCCTGTGATGACCATGAGAAATTCCTGCTAAGCACAGCAGACCTGTGAGTGCTTTCAGTTCAGCTGGTGAGGTGACATAATCAATCCAATTTTGAATATGGCTCTCAGTGCATATAGAACATTTCACTGTGTTTCAGCATTTGTTATTTCACACTTTCTTGTAGCAATTCATCTGTTGCAAACAATTTCTAACACTGAATGGAAATGCAAGCATTCAAAGTCCAACAGTCTTCACTCATGACAAGATTCTCACTATATTTTAGGAGCTAGTTTTAACATTGGTTCTTTGTATTTTGTTGTATGATCATTTTTGTACCATTTTGATTAGTCAGCTATGTACTCACATTGCTGTTTTATGATCATCTAAATCAAAGAGTTCTGTCTTTCCTGTGTCTGTATTGGTTAATTCTTGCTCCATTTCACACTCACAGGAAGTTTGGCTGACATGGCCAATATTAACTTCATTATCATCTTCACCATCCAGGCAGGAATGATCTGATGATTCACTTTTTTTTTCTGATTCACTTTAACTTCCTCCTCAACTTGGAAATCTTGTTTTCCACATACTACTGCACTGAATTTGGCTACATTTATCAGGAAACTCAAACTAAACCCACTTTTCATAATGGTAAAGTACACATTTCCATGGCCAAAGATTAGTGCAGGTGTATTTTATCCCCAGTGATGCTCAGGGAAACGTACACAAAACCTGATAGATGGAGCACAATGGTAGGTAAAAACTTCAGACTGACACTTTTTTGCATGTGTGCACACTTTGACATTCATCATACCAAGTAGGTAAACATGAACACTTTCTATATCTCCCAAGCACAGGTACTGAGATGTACAGTCAGGTACTATTATGCTAAAGAACAAATTTAGGAGGAGTACAAGAAGATGGCGGAACAGTAAGCAGCAGAGTAAACAACTTCTCTGAGAGAAGCAGTCCAGATGCTGGGATACAGCATCCAGGGGAAGACAAAATTAAGAAAGTCGGTCCCCTCGACCAGGAAGACCTAAAGTGAGAATTGAAGCCCATAGAGAGAATAAAAAAAGAAAAACTTAAATAAAAGAATGTGGGAGCTGGTGAAGCTTTCACCCAGAGTCAGAACCATTGTGTGAGAAGAGCTGTTGGAACCTGGGGACACAGGGACACAGTGAAAGTGGTGGCTGGCAAGTCTGAAGGCCTTTGCAGGGGAGCAGCCGACTGGAGAACTGCACTGGGTGGTGTTGAGTGTGGGGGAAGAATGTAAAAAAGGTTTAGAATACATGAAATAGATTCAAGGAAATTACCAGGAAATTAAAAACTCCATTTAAAGCTGGCAAAACTGCTTGAAAGAAACTAAAGATAGACTATCGAACCTTGAAGACAGGTTTGCAGCTCATGATTGCAAAAGGAAAGATTTTTTAAAAATAACAATGAACCAGGAAGTAACGATACAAAGGCTAGAGGATGACAAGAGGATCTATAACTTCAGAAGAAAAAAAAAATGTGAGCGAAGAAGCAGGAGTAAACACAAATGAAGTACAAAGGCAATTTACAGAAATAATTAAAAAAATTCCCAAGCATAGGAAATGGAAATGATATTCATATAAGTGAGGCATTCAGAACTCCAGCCAGCTATAACTAAAATAGATGTACACCTAGACATACAATAATCAAGATCTCCCAAAGTCAACACAAGAACAGAATATTAAAAGCTGTCAGAGAAAAGAAACAGATCACCTAGAAAAGAAAACTCATCAGAATCATAACAGACTTCTTGACACAAATCATCAAATCAAGAAGAGCTTAGAGTAAATTATTCCAAGTCCGGAAAGAAAGTAACCTCCAACCCAGAATGATGTTACCTGAAAAACTAGCTTCAAAATTAATGAAGAAACAAGATACTTCCATGACAAAGAACAACTGAAGGAATTCATGACCACCAAACCAGCCTTACAAAAAATTCTGACCTTCTAGAGAGAGAGAAAAAAAGGACCATGGTTTCAGGAACAGCGGCAGAGGGGGCTCACTGAACGGGGCAGACTGTGGAATGCAGGGAAAAGTAGGCAACCAACAGCAGACAAATAGCATGGCAGAGATGAGGCAGAGAAGCTTGGCATAATCACTAATATAGATGGCCTCAATTCACCAATAAAAAGAAAGACAGGCAGAGTGGATCAGGGGATAAGGTCCATCAATATGCTTTATATAAAAAATATAATTAACCCAAAAGGGTGTTATAGACTAAAAGTCAAAGCAAGAAAACAATGCTCTATGTGACAGGGAATCAGCAAAAAGTGGGGGTAGTTTGTCCATCAGCTGCAGATTGGTTAGAAAGCCATGACACTTTTATACAATGGAAAACTACTCAGCTATAAAGAAAGTTATCCTTGAGACTCTTGTAGGTAAATGGATTCAACTTGAGATCATGCTCAGGGGTAAAAAGGTTCAGAGTCAGTTAGCTGAATAGCAGGTTGCCTCTCTAATATAAAAACTAAAGGAGTTAGTGGGATCCAGAATGTACAATACACCGTGAAAGTGAAAGGGGAGGAATTGTCTAAAAAGGGAAGGCACTGGCCATTGTTCATCTATTATCATGATTTGAAACCCATATTGTTTTCACTGATGTGTTTTGTTTGGTTTTATTCTGTTTCAGTTTGTCTTCTTGTATTAGATTTGAAGGCATGGACAGAATTCCACAGAGAACAGGACATATTATGGTAACCACTTTTTATTTCCTCTTAGCTTGATCAGAAAGCCTGTATTGCTTTCATTGTTTTGTTTTGACTAATTTTATTCTATACTGATTTTTTGATAGTATCAAGTCTGAAGGTATGGGCAACTACTTTGAAGACCGTAAGATGTACTAGGATACCCATTGTGGTTTGACCATTCTCTTCTTTTGAAGTCCTATAATGTCTCCATTGTTTTGTTTTTATTGGTTTTGTCCTGTACTGTTTTGTCAATATTATTATGTCTAATGTTATGGGGAATTCT